ATATACTCCAAACAATGACTAGACTGACTGTTTTTTTTAAATGAATAATTTGCTTTTTTGCAAACTAAATTATGAAAATGTTTATTACAAATACAGTTTTTATTTCAGGAACAGGAGGCCAGATTTATGACTTTCTATGACATTTACTAAAGTATGAGTAAGGGTGTGCTTGTTCTGAGTGGATTAAGTGTTTCCACCATCTAGCAGTCACAATGTGCTACTACAAGTGCTTGTTCATCAGTGGTGTAACTGACCTCGGTGCATTTTTGCAAAGGGACATTGTGCCCTTGTTTGCACCCAGTGCTTTGCTGCTTTTTGTAAGAAGCAGCAAAAAAGCTTGGAAAAGCTTTTTTTATTATCCGCTGTGTAGAATCTTCATCCTAAAAAAAACTGTCAGATAAATGTAGTGGAAGTCTAAAGCAGAATAAAATGGAAATACTCAAGTAAAGTATAAATTGCAAAAAATAAATCAATCAATAAAAAAATGATAATAATAAAATAAAATAAAATAAATCCACCACGACCTGCACATGGCAGTGATGACCAGATTTACTTCACTTTTCTTCTACCAGTCACTGGATTGTTTAAATTCATTCTTTGGGTTCCTGTGTTGTAGTGTCAATTAAATTAAATTAAATTAAATTAAATGTATTTCAATTCAATTCAACACAGTGTGCTATATTGACATACATACCATATTAACAATACTGCTAACCTTTTGTTGCTAGCCTCTTGAAAGATCATCTGAAAATATCACCCACTGTTGCACTTTTTAAAAAATTCTTCCAAAACATGCTTGAACTGTTTCCAAAGATTTCATTAGCTACTATTTGTTAGGACTGTCTCTGATGTGTTGGCTTTTATTTTTGTGGGTCCACACCGGACGCTTTTAATTTGAAGCCCGGATGTGACTGCTGACAGTCTCGGTGCTGTTACAGGTTTCTGTTCCACTCAGGGAACTCCTCTGAAACTGGCAGTGATGACAGACAAGGGGGAAACGAGGTGTCAGTTTTACACGTGTAAGTGCTTCACCACTGACAACATCTTCCTGAAGGACTACCGGCTCCATGTCCGCTTCGTGTCGGAGCAGCAGTTCCGGCTGGACTACCTCACAGTGAGTGGACGTTCACAACACTTAACAGACAGGTGTCATGGCGGCGGCTAAGCTAACAGCTGTGTGCTCTGTGTGGATTGTTGCTGCGCAGCTGCTGAAGAAGCTCGGCTGCGACACAGAGGAACAGTGGAAGGATGTCCTCAACAAGGTGAGACGGTTTGTGTGAACTGTTCAAGTTGTAGAGACATATATGTGTTTAGTCTGTCACATTGTGAGGACTCTGCTCCCCCATAACTTAGCTAAAAATATCAGGATTTGGGGGGAAGACTTGGTTTAAAGTTCAAAGTGTCAGGTTGTGTTTGGGTTAAGGTTAGGTTAGGACAGTACTGGATATGGTTGGGATAGGTCTCCAGTGAATGTAAGATAATTTAATGTATGGACGCATGATAAAGGTTTTTTTTCCTGATATGTTATATGCCGATATTTTCCAGTTCATTTTGGTCGATTGACAAGTTATGCACTATTTTTTTCTGCTTCCTAACTGCAGAGGACACCAGGTCTGTCCTGCAGTGGATATTGTATATTATTGTGCCTAATTTTATCTTGAAGTCGTGCAGACAAGCCCCTTTCAGACTCATTTCTATTACTAATAATCTGAAGGCAGTGAACTTGTCAGCTTCATGTTTAAATGAGCACCTGCTCACTTTTCTATAAAGATTGTGTTGTGACTGGCTCTTAGGCCGCAACAAGGGATAAGACACACAGGTGGGTTCAACTATAGCGTAACGCTATTTATTAAAACAAAGTAGAATCATGAGGTGTGATTGTGAGCGTCCGTGGTGTGTGAGGGTGTATGAATGCAGTGATCAATGTGTGGTGCATGTTGTCAGCACGAAACAAACCAAAAGAGACACAAATGCAGGAGCATGGTTGGCTGGGTATGGGAGAAGAGAGAGCGATCTGGCTCAGCAGGCCGGCTTATATGCTCATGGAGATTGGCCAAGTGTACCAGGTTAGAAAATTAGAGGTTCCGCCCAGCCAGAAACCTGCAAGACAAGAGTGAGGGAGAAGACAGAGGCTCTGGGGCCGTAATAATTGTGACAGAAGTCGTACCGGGTTGGATATCATAACATTTTAACATAATTTGATCTGAAAAGCATGCAGCTGTGTAAGGGGATTTGGGTGAGACTTTTTTCCCCCCAAAATTTCAGCACCAACGTTGGTCAGAAAAAACATCACACAGAGCAAGAGAAACCGTTTAAATACTTCTGTTTCACATCCATTACGAACCAAAATGTCATTGAAAATAGCTTTTTACAGCCATGAAGACAGATACAAACAGGTCAGATTAATGAGTCTCACCAATAAGAAGTGTAATCCAGGTTTTGACAAAGCACCAACGAGAGTTTAGTTTGTTCCTTCCAGTTGGTTGTAGGAATCTCTCCTTTGAGTTTATTAAATACCTGCATCATCAAAGTGTGCATTTATACATTCCACAACAGCAGTAATTTCATTAGTACCTTTTAATTAGAAAGGATCTCTGATATGAAGACAAAATGGATCAGGGTGTAACAGCAGGTCACACTGGGTACTTTTCTTCACCTCAGAAACTCAGCCGTCACACGGAGTGACAGATTCTAAACTCCAGATAAATCATTTGTTACGTACATAGCAGCGGTCCTCAGCTTGAGTCCTGAGCTCCATCACAGCTGTCTGGATATTTTTATTTTACTGCTGGTAAAATAGTAGTTACATTATCATCACACATGGACACAAGTTTTAGTGTTCAGGAAATCATAAATAAACTTACTACTTATTTGAACAGGTTGATGAGCTGTTACTAGTTTAGATTTTGTCTTTTTGTTCATTAGTGCACAATGATACATGACTGGATGTTTTTTTCAGGCTCACATGTTAGACAAATACACAGCAGCATACCGTAGTTCTTGTGACGTCCCTAATATGATGTATTTTAAGAACAGTCTCTTCATTTTAGTTATTGTCCACAAGAGAGCACTGACAGATTGGTTTTTATACAGTGAAACATCTCAGTGTGTATGTAAAGGATCCATGTCAATATCTAATAGTCTCAAAAACCCAATATCTGTCAGGCTATAGTTTGAAGTGTTTTGGACATTTCTTCTCTGTGTTCATATGGTTTATAAACCAAATTCTTAAAGAATTTATGTAAAAAAAAACAACTGTCTGCATAATCTGTCATGAAAGTAATTGCTAGGTGCTGTCTCATAAAAGAGAGAGAAAAATAACTATCAGTAATTTCATGACAATACATAATGTAAACATCACGTGATTGTCTTGTTGGCTTCATTCTGAGTTAATAGGGTGTGATCATGTGAGAACACCTGCAGCTTTATCTCTGCTAGACTGTAACTGAAGTGTGGGAATGCTCTGTTTAGATTTCGCAGGAAGTGGACAGAAGAAGGTGTCTGAGTGTGACATCTGCTGGGAGAGCTGCTGCTATTAAAGACATGTACCAGCCTCTACATCCTCATGTCTATCATTTGCAGGTAGTTACTGCATCAGTCACTGCTAATAGTCATTAATAATGTGTCATTAACACCTCGCTGAGACACATCTGTACTCCACCTCTCCTCAGGAGTCCTACCTCTCGACCAAACTCAAGCAGATTGTGGAGTACTGTCGAAGCAGCGACGCCACTGAAGACGGTCTCTTAGACTTGCTGGATCAAGAGGCAGGTAGGCTGGAATGTGATTTCAATTCTTGTCAGCGACAAAGATTCAAATAGAAAGGTTAAATACAAACTCAAATTTTATAGTAGCAACAGTGAGGTTAATTTCCTCATCAGTGGTGCTACACAGTCTGACAAACAGATGACAGAAACAAATAGAAGCTGTCAGAAGAAAGTGATGGAAAGAATCAAGCTGCCTTGCGAGTTTTGTACCTGTAAAGACAAAATGCTGTGTTTATACAAACTAAAAAGCTAAATAATGTCCTATGCACACATTGTGACCCTTGGGTCTGACGCTACACAGAAAGTGTGATCAGCAAGTCTGAATCCATAAAAAGCAGAAACTTGTACCTGGTGCTAGTTTGGCCACTTTGCCCGACCTATTGATGTTCTTGTACAGCAATACACTGCTCCCAGTGTTCCTGCTACCGTCTAAACACTCTCTGGCAGTTCTGTTCTGACTACTTGCAGGTGCACATTTACAATTTTATCTTGGACATAGAGAGTGAACGTCACATTTCGTGTTAAACTGACAAACCTTGACAAAACCCTTAATGTGGAGGATTTTGGTCTGATCTCAAGACCCGACTTTACAGTTAAAGAACCTGTAGTCTCCAAGACAGAAGAGTGTGCACCAGGTCAGCAGCATAACCAAGACCAAGCTCAATATTTTGTTCAATATTCAAATGACTGTCCACTGTGAAGTCGTACTTCAAGGCTGGACTGTCAACACTGAGTTAAACTGTAATGTTCTGCGGGAGAACATTTGCCGCAAACGACCTGAACTTGAGCACATGCCAGCGTGTGTCGGCTCATGGTGAGTTGAAAGCACACAAGTTTTTTGGACATGCCAAGACAGTTATCACCCTCCACCCGCCCTACTTGCCAGATGTAGCTCCCTACAACTTCTAACTTGTTCCTCAAAATAAAATTCCATCTGAAGAGTAGTTTCTGAGAGAAGCACAGTGAAAGAGACTCATGGTGTCGACGTGCTCATGGACCAGGGCTTTCAGGAAGCCTTCCAAATGTGGCAGGAGCACTGGGAACAGTGAATTACTGCACAAGAACGCTGTTTCAAAGAGGATGGCTAAATGTAAAAATTTCTGTAGTTTTTGTAGACACAGACTCTGAATATTTGGATAGTAGACATGAGGAACTTAGAACAAATATGTTTGATTCTTCCGTTCTGACTGCAGTGTTTCCTGAAGTGTAGAAAAATAATAAACACAGATGTGTCTATCCACAACTTCCGCTTGGATCAGACAATATTGAGTATACAGTGTAACACTCATAGACTTTTGTGTATTTGAACTTAGAATTGAAATCTTAGAAGATATTTCTCCCACATATACAATATGGTGACAGTATCAATCTGCTAAAATTGGGACAGTCATAAAAAAACACAAAAAAAACTCCCACTTTTTTGATTAATATTTTTATGTATACTGAGTCCCAGTTTACTGCCAAAGCTGTGTTGTTGCTCCTAAATGAATCAGGAGACCTTTGTAGCTCTCCTGAATCATTTGGGAACTGAGACTGTGTGATTGAACAGAATACTGAGATACCTGTTAGCAGCTCCTGTCTGATTGCAGGTATGGATGTATGGGCACTCGATCATTTTGATTCTGAAGAACACTTAAAAACATTATGATTCTCAGGGAAGTTCTAGAGTTGTAAAGATTTTTGGACTTTTCTAATAATGGACATCAGAGATAATGGTTGCCTCAGTGTAAATTGCACTGAATCTAAAATGATGTGTATTATGTTTGTGTAAGTGCAGATTTGACTGAGTTATGCCTCTGAAGGAGTATGAATTTCAAAAATTTCCTGTCATTTCCACTGTGGTCTCAGGTGTTTAGGTTGATGATACCATTACATAGTCCACATGGAGCATCTTTCATTTATTCTCCTCTTTCCGTTGAAGCTCCAAGGGTGTATCACTTCCCTGTGTTTGAGAAAAGCTTCTGTGAGGAGCTGGTGGAGGAGCTGGAGCACTTTGAACAGTCTGCAGCCCCTAAAGGAAGACCCAACACCATGAACCACTACGGGGTAATGAATCCAGCATTTAATGACTGCTCAGTCTTCCATATTTCTTCTTTATTATGCTGTGACATTTGGAGCCTTGGCCAACTGTGGTCGCATTGCTCATATATATTGCTGGAACTCCTTGAAATATAAGAGATATGGTCCAGGCAGCCACGTGCACAGACTTTGATGGATTTTCGAGGAAAGTGAGTGGATGTCCAGGGTCATTTCACAGTAACATTTATGCAGGACAGTGGACCACTTTAACAATTTATTGCATTATCTGGCTGTTGGCTGTGAAATAACCTTCCCACAACACCTTAAATAAGAACCATATAAAAATCATGAAGCCTTCAGACTTAAAAATGTAGTGGTAGAAAGGTTGGGAATACATGATCTAGAAATTGTTTTATTCGTGATATTATTCTCACTATCTCTCTCCCCAGATTCTCCTCAATGAGCTGGGCTTTGACGAGGGATTCATCACACCTCTCCGTGAGCAGTACCTGCAGCCGCTCACCGCCCTGCTGTACCCGGACTGTGGGGGGCGCTGTCTGGACAGCCACAAGGCCTTTGTGGTCAAATACGACATGAATGAAGACCTGGACCTGAGCTACCACTATGACAATGCAGAGATCACACTTAATGTTTCACTGGGAAAAGACTTCACTGATGGGAACCTTTATTTTGGTGATATGAGACAGGTGATACCATACTGTAAAGCTCTTATTACTGTTAGTACTGCTGTACCGTTGACAAAATAGCATTTTCAGCAGTAAGATACTTGGTGCATTATTGTACCAGTGAAAATCTTATAGGGCTACACCAATCAGCCACAATATTAGAACCAAACAATGTGGAGGTCCCACGCCAAGGCCTGGACTCCATAAACCTCTAAGGGTGTCCTGTGGTATGAGGCATCAAGACATCAGCAGCAGATCATTTAAGTAATGTAATCTTCCTGGCGCAGATTATCCTGCTGAACGAGGTCAAGACATCAGAGAATACTGTTCACATGAAGGGATTGACGTGGTCTGCAACAATGTTCAGGTAGTTGGTGTTGACATGAATGCAGGACCCAAGGTTTCCCAGCAGAACATTGTCCTCTTCTGTAGGATCCATCAGATCACATGGACCAACTTTTGTTTTCTGCGCCCATCAGTTAACCTTGAGCACCCTGATTCTTTAATTGTTCTTCTCCTTTGACAGTTTTTGTCGGTATGAACTACTGCATACCAGGACTACCCCACAATAACTGATGTTTTGAAGATGCTCTATTGTCTAGCATCATAGTTTGACCCGTGTCAAAGTCACTCAGATCTTTATGCTGCCCAGTTTTCCCAGCTAAATGTTTATTTTCTGCCTAATGTATCCCACCTCTTGACAGGTGGTAATATAATCAGTGTTATTTACGTCACTTGTTAATGTTATGGCTCATAGATGCTTAGAAGCAAATAAATAATAATAAAAAACCCTAAAAGAATATTCATCAGTAATAGCAAAATATCAAATAAACAGTATGCCTAGTGAGATATTTAAGATAATTTCTTAGAAATGCTTTTATTATTGACGGCAAAATGACTGTTCTTCCAAATAGTATTCTTTTTCTTGTATTCTGTTACATTTACTGTCACTGTTTGGAATGTTAAGAGTACATGGATGTCAGTGATGTACAAAAGTCCTGAATCATGTCTGAACACTGGTTTTGTTGCCTCCTGCAGGTGCCAGTGAGTGAGACAGAGTGTTCGGAGGTTGAACACAGGGTAACCGAGGGCCTCCTCCACCGGGGCCAGCACATGCACGGGGCCCTGCCCATCTCCTCCGGCCAGCGCTGGAACCTCATCATCTGGATGAGAGCCTCTCAAGAACGCAACCAACTGTGCCCCATGTGTAACAGGAGGCCTTCGCTGGAGGAGGACGAGGGCTTCGCTGATGGATTCACCAAACAGTCCGAGGCTCTAATGAACTCTTCGTGTGTGTTGACGTGATGAATCCAGCTGTTGTGCTCTTCTTCAAGACTGCACTGGGTGATTGTAGGAAGCCATTAGACTGAATTTAATTTAGTGGCACATTTGAATTATATTCCAAATTGGAATGGTTGATATTTATTTATTTGTACAATAAATAATTCTAAAGGTTTTATAATTCTGGGTTTTAAATGTTTAACTAAATGTCCATTTTAGGACAATAGCTCCGATCAATAAGGTACGAATCCAGAGTATTCATCCAGCATGTCACATCAATGCATCTCTATAAAGAATGCAGTAACACCACCTTTTCCCACAGCAGTTTATCTGACAGTGGTTGGTGGCATCTGTCTTTACCCATCAATCTAGTAAACCCTGCCAATATTAAACCCAGACTCTGCTGTTTACCTACTGACTACTGTGTTGATTATTTTTGCAAAATGTGCTGTAACGCTGCTCTTGATCAGGAAGAATGGACATGAACACATATTTGGGACGGTGTGTATTTGCCAAACCACAGATTTCTCAGTTGCCTTACATCTAAAGAGAAAAAAAAGTCACTCAGGTCAAAGTTTGGAATAATGGAAGTTTAATGACAAATTCTGCCAGTTCATGAATAACCCTAACCCTTTCTGTGTGCAATTTTGTTTTCGTTTTCTGCGTAGTATCGTGGTTAAATATGTTCTCATACAAAGTCTTTGGAGGTAGAAACACAAATATGAGCCTGTCAGCTGAATTCTACAAAATAAATTGATGCTTTTCAGAGACATTAAAACATCCGGGCCTTTTGGTTGTTTCTTTTTGTTCCTGCTTTTGTGCCAATATGGAGTGTTGTTCTGGGGGAAACAGAGGAAAGGGGAGCTGGTCTGTGGGATCAGATGCACACTACCATATTCAAACAAACACCAAAACACAAATATACAATGGCTAAAATACAACAAAAGGCATGGCTTTGTACAGTAGACTTTACAAGCTTGTACTAAATACTTGTGTTTACTAAAATAGTTCTTGTTTTCATGTTTCCTGCCCCAAGATCAAGCTGTACACACAGGCATATGTGAAATTATGTACAAGTTTGGGCATTGAAGTGAATTAGTTTATATTTAGTATAATTACAATGATAGTACAATATAAATATATAGCTAGTAATAACAAAGATACACTTTTCACAATAAATATATTTCCATATACAGATAAATATTTTCTCTTTTCTTTACAACATACAAGAAAATAAATAAATTCAGTTCTCAATATAAAGCTGTAAACAAAAGTTTCCATACACTTGTCAAGAAAAATGAGTCAAAAATATCCAAACAGCAACTTGAAATATCAGTTTTGTTGATAACGAAAGCTGTTTTAACCAAATTTCCTGAGGGACATGACCTCTTACTTTTTCACAGATGTTTGCAATTGACTACAGCTGGTGACTTCTCTGAGCCAGTTTAAATAGGGCTTATTTTATATACTCATTAGACTCTGCCACAAACACTGCAGTGGGAAAGTCTGAGGAGCTGAGCTAAGATCTGAAAAGGCAAATCATTAATTTGAACAAGTCAGGAAAGTCACTTGGAACCATTTTAAAGCAGCTACAGATCCTAAAATCAACTCTGCAAACAATTTTAAAGTGCATGGGACAGTTGTGCCACTGCCATTATCAGGACGAACATGCCATGTATTACCTGGTGTTGGAAGCCAACTGGTCAAGATGGTTTAAGAATTAACCAAGAATCACCAAAAAGCAGGTCTTTAATAATGAGAAGCTGCTGTTATGAGCTGAGATGCTGCCATGCAAGAAGGAAGCCCTTCCTCTCGGAAAGAACCCTTAAGGCTTGACTGAAGTTTTTGCTGGTGATTACATGGACAGAGAAAAGGTTTTCTGGAGGAAAGTTCTGTGGTCAGATGAAACAAAAATATGACCATGTTTGGAGGAGAGACGGCAAGGCCTTTAGCCCCAAGAACACCAAACCTACTGTCAAACATGGTAGTGGCAGTACCATGCTCTGGGGCTGTTTTGGTGCCAGTGAAACTGTTGCTTTACAAAAGTTAATGGAATAATGAAGGAAGATTACCTCCATATTGTTCAGGAAATCTATAATCATCAGCCAGAAGTCTGTGTCTTGGATGCAGGTGGGTGTTCCAACAAGACAACAACCCCAAACACACATCAACGGTAACAAAGAAATGACTAAATCAGACTGGAATTAAGGATTTAGACTGGCCTTCCCAAAATCCAGACTTAAACCTCATTAACAACCTGAGGGCTGTGATGAAGAAACCAAGTCTGTTTTAGAAAGCCAACAAATTTAACTGAACTGCACTTCTATTCTGTTAAGCAGAAGCACCTCGTTAAATGAAAATATTAGCATAGTATGCATTCCATCATAAAAAATGTATAGCTATGGGAGTCATTGGAAAAATGGTCTTTAAAAGTGTATGGAGACTTTTGTTCATGACTACGATTTAGAGCAAAACATTGAAAAAAAATTCACCAGTTCAAAAGTAGATGCTTTTCCAAATGCAGTGATTGCACCAGTCCCATCCCAGTCTGTTTAACTGTCTGTTCAGTTTGCTTACAGCTGTCTGTCTATACCACCTCGTACTGTCTTTGGGTCAGCACTGGCTGCATTCAGTAGTCCGCCCACACTGTGCTGTGTGTTCTCTCAACAAGATATTGTGTCTCAGCTTCATAACGTGGTCTCGCTGCTCATATCCCGGGGCCGGTGGTGGTCGATGTCTGAGTCGTAGTCTGACTCCATCTCAATCTTGACCTGGGGCACGGGGCAGGCCATTCCTCGGCCCATAGGGATGGCCGGAGATGACGGGCAGGAGATCTTCAAGTGAAGGGTGATGCTGAGGAAGGGCAAGCTCTAGTTACCATACACACCCACAGACAAAGACACCGAGGGGCGGCCAGGGAGGGTGGAGGCTCTCAGCCATGAAGCACCAGGACTCCAGCAAAAAACACCAGCAGCTCATGTCAGTGATGAGTGAGAGAAGAGGAACTAGAGAGCAACAAGATGCTGTAGTTTTTGCCTGTAGACACAATGTCTTAGGGTTCAGACTGGGAATGGTGATGGGGGAAAGGTTGGGAGAGGGTTTACAGTGTGTACCATAAACATGGGAATCCGTTTGTTGCAGCCCTTTGCGAGTGAATCCAGCGGAGAGTAAAGATCAAATCTAATTACCTTTTCTAAAAGTATTTAAGCATCATTTGTTTTATGTCAATCTCAAATGAGCATTTTTCCCAAATGTATAAAGGAAGAGCCTGAGGTGATCTTGATTGAATAAAGAGCATGTAAACTACAGACATAATTAAATAAATACATATATATCATCTCAAAACGTAATGAACCAGTAATAGTAGGGACGTTCATACTACAACATATTATGACTTCATATTAAAGACTTTCAGGCATTTCATTAAAGAAACATACCCTGCTTTTTGGAGCAGTCACTGGTAATCGTTCACAAATTGCCCTATTCTAACATTTAGAATTTCGAATGAATGTATTTTTAATGGCACAATTTGACAGTCAGGGGCAATCACATACTGTAGTTTTCTTTACCTAAAGTTGACAGCATCTATCAAAACAAGTTCATATTAATCAGTAATCAGTTACTCTGTCAATTCCAAACCATGCCTCTTTCAAAGCAATGCAGACATGATGAGAAATTCAGAAAATCAAACTCTCCCAATAGGCCAAAAAAATAAATAAATTAATTGAAGGGAAAAAATTACATGTAAATTCTAAATAAGCAAAGGCTGCACTTTCAGTACAATATACTGTATTTGCACTGAAACTGTGGTGGCTCCAGGTGAAGGTGGGTCAGAGAGCTGGGGCAGACTACATTTCACATGCAGGTAGGATGATGTGCTAAACAGATTCCGCACACGGAGGAAAAAGAAACAACCAAAACCATGTTTGCTACATATGGATGATTACACAGTGAAAAATAAAGTAGCCTACAATAAATCCTCTACACGCACTGGATACATAGTGGACCAAAAAGACCACGCATTATTTTATTAGTCTATTCCACAAGGTAATCTAAACAAAGAATCTTGATCAGTGGTTTTAAGACAAAGCAAACTATGCACCATCCACTTCAGTTCATCACCCCTCACCTCACAGACACTGCTTTTAACAGTGCTTCAAAACTACAAACACTCATCAATGAAGAATTACAATCTGCTGAGTTGTGTGTACATAGAGCAGCGTAGTGCACATAATGTCATACTGACACGTAGCACATTACACAGGAAGAATAGCAGCAGGAGTGCACGGTTCATCACATTACAATGATCTGCATTGCCTTAAAGTGCATGGAGAGGAGACTGAACCCAAATATAACAACGAAGGAAATCTGGACTATGGGGATGATGTTACTATTTAAATAATAGGTCCACAACCGCGGGCAGACATGTCCCCATTGAACAATGTTCATGTGTATAATTTAAATTATTAGGATTTTTTGTTTTTTTTAAATGAACAAAGGAGGAAATGTTACAGAAATAATGATGGGATTTTTTTTTTCTAGTTTGAGGAGTTTAAAAAACAATATTTTACTCTGGAAGTACACAACACATTGGACCTAATAGTTTGTTGTTCGTGGCAGTGAAGGGGAATTTAATGCAAAGCAACATCATGACATAACACAAGCTTTCATGAGATGCTGTCATGCATCTGAGTCTACCGTAGTATTAGATAGTGTTTCCTGTGATCACTTTGATAAGACATTTTTAAAAAATGTACCGTTTTGGTTGTATTTTTAAAGGGTCAGTTCATCCAAACTACAAAAACACAAAAACATACAGTACCAAAACATTTAGACATTGAAACAAAATCAGTATAATTTGGATTGCATTCTTTTTTTTAAATTTTATTTTACAAGAATTTCCGATTTCACTTTCATGGTACAGTGAAAACAGATTTGTACAAATCTTAATAATCTCCATGAATTGAAAATCTAAAATGTGAATAGGTGATTGCATATGTATTCATCCACTTCAATGTGACTAGAGTAGGCCGTCCTTTAAATACACCTATGATTACTCTGAAGGAGTTATAAGTGGCTTCTATTGAATGTAATAAATCTATACACTGAAGTCAGCTGGTTGAAGGTTTGATGAAAACAAAGTTGATATTTTTAGCCATCAGTCTAAGCTATGTTTGTCAGACACCAAACACTGCACATCATCACAAACACATCCTCCCCACTGTGAAGCATGGTGGTGGCAGCATCATAATGGGAGGATGACTGTCAGCAGCAGGCCTGGGGAGGCTTGCATAGGTAGAGGGTAAAATTAATGCGGCAAAGTATCAAGAAATCCTGAAAGACAACTTGATACAGTCTGCAAGAGAACTGTGACTTGGGAGAAGATTTGTTATCCAGCACGAAAACGACCCAAAGCAGATAGCCAAAGCTACAAAGAAATTGTTTAAAGACAACAAGGTAAATGCTATGGAGTGGCCGAGTCAGGACCCAGAGCTCAATTCAATTGAGAAAGCATGGCTGGGCGTAAAAAGGGCTGTTTGCTCACATTTCTCATACAACCTGACAATTTTTGCAAGAAAGAATGGGCTTTAATTGCAGTGTCCAGACGCGCAAAGCTGACTGAGACCTATCCAGACAGACCCAATGCTGTAATTGCAGCCAAAGGTGCATCTAGTAAACACTGACTTGAAGGGGGTGAATACTTAGGCAATCAGATATTTTACATTTTAAATTAATTGACATAATTTGGTAGAAATCTGTCCTTTCTTTGACATTAAGAAGCCTTTTTTTTTTTTTTTTTTTTGTAAATTATTGTCAAAAAGGCAAAATGAAATTGGTCATGATTCAAAATTGAAAAGCAAAACAAAGAGGCAAAATTATAAGAGAGGTGAATACTTTTTAAATGTGCTGCACTGGTAATTGCATTATTTATTTATTTTTTTTAATCAACAGAAATGTTCAGGACCAATCTACCAGTTACTGTAGAGAATCCACAGAACTCCCTGGGAACAGTTTTGATTAGTATTTTCTGACCAAGAAACAGTGCTCTGTGGATTATGCAGAGTAACAGGGAGGGATGCTGCAGGTCATTTTCTCCATTGCTGATGGCATCACAATAAAATCCACATCCACTGCATTGCAGAGGAGGCAGAAATCTGAGAAGCAGACACCTCAAAAGCTGTGCTGACAGAATGACATTTCTAACCTTGTTTGGGCTGACAACACAAGGCTGCTGCAACACCTACATGGCACATTCATCATATCACCCCCATATAATAAGAAGGTAAGATATAAAGATAATGTGAGGAGGAGCCCTTCTACTGCACCTGCACAAACTGCATGTATCACAAGTGATTGAAAAACCAGGAGTTCTGCTGAATGTCACTGCTGGAAGTCCTTTCCCTAGTTATTGTCATCCCTTTCTCATATTTTCTCCTGATTAAAACTCAGCATTACAATCTTTTAATCAAGTGTACTTAAGTCACTAAAGATCTGCTCACTTTTTATTTCCATGCCTGCTGCCACACCTGTAGGCTATGATCCCCTGAGGGGAAGCTTATTATCACTGCTATCCACTCTCTGCTTGGAATCTCTCTGAGGAGAGATGAAGTCTGTATGTACTACATAATTCCAGCAGGAAAAGAAGTACTCAAAATGTTACTTAAAGGAGAAAATTGCAGGGTTTAGTAGCATCTAG